GGTTTAACGCGCGGCATTTTGAGAACTCCTGCAAGCGATGTTCACTGAACGACTGAAAACAATCGGCATAGCGATTAAAATTGCAAGAGAGACTACTAACAATCAATAAAAGAAATATAATTCGGTGAAACATAAACAGAGACAACAATTTTCATTCAGGAAGACAAGTATTAAAGTGTCCCTAAATATCCTGAATCTTCAAGCTTCAAGCTTAAGTTTGCTGAAGTTTATGTTTTAAGCCAGCTTCCCGGTGTTTATTTTTTCGAACTCGAGGCAAGAAAATCGCTCAAAGCTTTCTTTTCCGGCTGGAATTATAACTAAAGATTCTTTGGAACATTTTCTTTCTATTTGCGGTGAGAAACTGTCTAAAGGCTTTTTAAAGTTCTGTAAGATTATATCAAACCAGATACTCGGTGAGATCGTTGTCTCAAATCTTACAAACGCGCATAAACTAAATTACCGCATAAACTACGCTCCACTTCATTAAATTAGATACAAAAAACAAATATGAAATACAATAATTTCTCTGGCTTACCATTCGAGATGCAGCTCCTGAAAGTTATCAGGTAAAGCCAGTATCGCTTCAGACTTTGCAATCCTCTTACGCATCAAGCAAGGTGAAAACGAAAACAATGCCATCCGAAATCGGATTTCCGACTTTGACAAGCGACGTTTTCTCAACCAAAAACCCAATAAACAAACTAGCCATGAGTAACAGAAGACTCCTGATAGCAGCTGAATTTCATTTTGTACATCCAGTGGAAAAAGACAGTTAAAAACATCACAAGTTGACACAAAACTCTGTCAGCTTCAGCTGTTAAAGTAAACAAGATTCAAGATGCTGCATAAATTTTGCGCATGAACTCACCTGTCAAATTTTGACCAATCAGAGCATAAAAATTGGACGTAGAGCGTGACCAACGCGTGACCATTGTGAGAAAAAACAAAAGCAACTGTCTTCCCTGCCTGTAACAGCTGGCTGAATTTTCACGTCCGAGGTCAGTTTGCAATCAAAATTTTAATTGTGCAGCACATAAACACAACATATTTCATATGAATTAAGAAAAAAAATTGAACTTGAGCCTGCGATCACTTGAAAACTAGTTTACTTGTCAGCGGATAACTTCAAAAAAATACTTGACCTCGACGGGTCGACACCTGAGCCCGCGATACGGTCAAGTGATACTGGTCAGCGGGTACTCTGTTTTGACAGCTGTCAATTGATCAAAACAATGATGTCCAATATGTGTGCACTATCAGTTTTCGTGTGCTCCCAAACTAGTAAAAGTATGAGATTGAACGTTGTTCGCGATCTAGTAAAACAGTTAACTGGTCAGCGGACAGCTTCCAAATAAATCACGTCACCTCGATGAGTTGACACATGAGCCCGCGATATGGTCATGGGATACTGGTCAGTGGCTATCCTGTTTGGACAGCTGTCAATTGACCATATTGTTAATGTCCTATATTAAAGATGTGGACTTGCCAAGACACGCCTGAGACACCCCTCCCTTCCTTTTGATAGTCTCCCCTACCCCACCCATACAATCTGTAGACGCGTACGTACGTACGTACGTACGTACGTACGTACGCTCGGTCAGTCACGTGACAACCAAACGAAAAGAGGTTGACCATATTCCATGGGTATGGGGCTCTGTCCCACGCGCGCTTCGCGCGCGCGGGAGCCCCGCTATAAACAAGAGAAGAAGAGCTTAACTAATGATATACTAACGCAGGAGGGGGGGATCCAGAATTTTACTTAGGGGTGGGTGCATCACTAAGGCCCGGTTCAGACGCCGAACTTTTCATGTACCGAACCTAATGCATAAATTGTTATAACGTATTTAGTAAACAGTCTGACCGAAATGAGCATTTTTCGCGTTTTGAACTTAGTTGAGCTGCAATTAAGATCGGCGTCTGAATCAATTCAGCCGGTCTTATTAATTTGGGTCGGCCTTGATTCGAATTGGGTTCGGCTTATGAAACTTTGGGCGTCTGAACCGGGCCTAAGGAACTACCATTTTAACAACAATTTTACGGCGTTTAACATAATTCTTCAACCTCGTCTCCTGTTTTACTTCAGCACCAATAAAACACCAAGTTTTTATGGGGCAGAATACCAGTTGTATGAGAAAGCCGCAGGTCATCTCGGTCGGGTGGGGGGTGGGGTGTGTACCCCCTGCACCCTCCCCACTAGATCCACCCCTGTGACGGTATAAGAAGGCTTCATTTTAAATCAGTATTCTCGGGCTAGCATGCCACGGACTATGCCCACGTCTTTGCGATCGCCCCGCCGTCCCAGCTAGAAATGCAACAACACGACTCTAAAGTAACCAACCTAGTACATATTTACTACAAAATAAAAACCTCAAAAATGTGATCCTTCTTGAATCGTTTCAAAACTCTCTTCTAGATTAAAAAATTTCCAACTATTTCCTCTCTTCTAATTCTAGCAACACGCGGATTTAAAATATATTTTAGCTCCTTCACAAATGAAGCACGACACAGAATTGATTTGTTTCTTTTAAGCCAAGGATAGTCAGTGAAATATTTCAATCAAAATGAACGATTCTCTTCGCCACATGTTTTACTATAAAGCCCCGTGCAATCTAACGCAGCATTGTTGGCTAACAACTCCCGACATTGTTGGATGTTACATGTTGCGTCCGTTTGCACACCCAATTGCATGTTGTCGCGTGTTTTTGCTCAAAGTTTGAAACTTGTCAAAGTTTTGAGCAAGCAACTCCTAACATTTCTTTTGTTCCGTGATCGCCGAAGCATAGCGCAACAATGTTGGATCCGTTTGCCACAGCTCTTCCAACATTGTTGGAGCCACGCACACGTATTACACATAGTTTGCAAAGTCCTATGGGTTGTATCCTTCCCATGATGCACCGCAATTCCTAACATTGCTGGGAGTTGTTGCAGCCATTTGCACACCATTCTCGTCCCCAGAGCCCGTCGTTTCTTGGTCACGTGGTCTGGATCGTTACAAATTAAGCCGAGTTGCTCTGGGGACGAGAATGTTTGCACACAACTGCCAACATGGACGTAACAACTCCCAACATTGTTGTTTTAGCACGTAGCTTAAAAGACAAAACTGACAAGTTGAAAAGGTAAAGTTCGTTAAGGATGTCTTTACCCTGTCTCCAAATTTCCCTTGTCCGAATAATTGCTTAAAATAAAACCATAAAACCACGCCTATGGTTTTTAAATTCCCCTAGGTATTTTTTCTTCAACAGGTTGAGCTTTGTTTTCGTACTTTGCCGCTAAACAGAGCTTTGTCTAGCTTCTTTCTCAGTTCAGAAGGTAACATTAAGCAAATGTCAAAGGCTCAAACCTTTAACACAGTGCTGTTCAGTTTTCGGCAAATAACCTGACAATTTTGCTCTAGCTGCGGAAGCTAACAACTTCTTGCTCTTGCTTCTGGTATTTACTACCGGCATACTACCGGCTTCTTAAGTGGCTTAAAGCCCACGGCTGATTGTTTTACCTAAGAAATAATGATTTATTCGCTGTAATTTCAATAAAAAAGGAAGGAATAGAATCGAAATTTAGTACACAAAAAGGATTTCATCATCCTTCGTTACTGCGGTTTAACTATCGTTTTCAGTAAGTCACGAGACTATTTTCTGAAAATAGTAAATGAGTGAAAACTTGTGACGGATTGTTTGGGTAAAGAAGAACTCGGGATTTACACTTGGGTGAAATACGTATTCTAGCGACAGACATTGCCAGTCAATCACACGTCTTTGGCCCGACCAGACCTTAAACACCTTGAGTTGGAGACTCCTAGGTATTGGACATGTTCATTGCCTTGTAATGACAGAAAAGTAATTCTACTGACATTTGAACTGCTTGTTTTTATCATCAAAACTATCCAAAGAGAAGGTTTAATGTTAGACCCTAACTGCACTTGGCAAAATTCTTTTTGTTTTGCAAATATATCCCTAGTGTCAACAGCAAGCCATTTCTAGTGCGAACGATTTTTTGGCGTCGAGAATATTTGGAGACCTACAATTTTTGTCAGGCGACAAAATCCTTTGTTACTCGACAGCTATCCTTCGTCGGCTCTTCTTATTTTGCGAATCTGACCAATTAAAATTAGGTGTGTCTTAGAAGCGAACAAGGTTGCAAGAACGAGAATTAGGGATCTTAAGCAAAGGCGTTTTTGAGCGACGTACGTTAACCGGAAGTGAGGTCCTTTTCATTTAAAGCACCTTGACGATACCAAATTTGTATTTTCTAAGTGTCTTTAATACTGTGGAGACGATCTGTCTAAAAAGTTGGGCAAAAACATCGTCCAAAAATGAAAGAAGACTACTTCTGGTTGAGGTGCGTCGCTCAAAGACGTCTTTGCTTAAGCTCACTAATATATTGGTGCGACTGGGCCCTTAGTAATGATCTCTTTTCTACGAAATTACGATAATCCTCTAACAAATCGTACCCAGGGCTTTCCCCTTAGAAAATGGGAAAGAAAGCCCTGCAGACGACGGTTGATTATTTTTCTGTGAATTAATCCAGAAAAGGACTTGAGTTGGTGGTAACTCCAGCTGAAAACCAATGCTAGTCAACTTAATCCTCCGACGGTTAAGGGGACTCAACTTAATCATCCAACAGCATTTTCTCCAACTGAACCAGCTCCTCCTCTCAGTAAGCTGAACAGGATGTTTCCGCTGCTTTTTCTTACTCCCTGATCCACCGCAGGTGATGTGATCTGTGGCAGCGACTAGCAAAGTAAATTTATCGGAGGAGGGGAAGTGGGGAGTTTCAGTTTGCCGTCCAAAATGCAAGGTAAATATAGTCCGACCGGTGGAGGTGTCTCAGCAATTTCAGTACAAGGGGAATGAAACTGTTTCAATGTCAATACACAGGCCTGTTAGCGAAATGCATCCGTCTGAAATCACAGCCGTGCTGAACTTCCTGTCTGCCATGCTGAATGGCGCTTATGACACGTGACGGTTATTACCGTTGCGTGTAACTCTCTTTATTAGTTCTTGTTAGTTCACCTTGCACTCGCTGTTGGAGCTGGAGTTGTCATACCCTGAGGGTACAGGCAAAGATATAACGTCTTCCTGACCAGAGTCATCTGTTGAACTCGTAATCGTTTGTGATTCTAGCAGCTCTATGTTCTCAGTGTAAACGGTTTCATCCAGTTTCAGTGGTACACCCCTTGGGCAGATAATTTGGACTTTTCCGATGCCAACCATTACTGCGTTCGCTGGAACTTTCAGTGGCCTTGGTAACTCATATCTCCCTTCCTTGAGTAAAATAACAAGATTGTTGCCGTCTGCTCTCTCGGCGGCGTGATAAAGGTTGTCCACCGTAGTTATCACATTTGTACTGTAACTTCCAAAGTGCTGCATCACTGCAGGTATATCAGTGCACTGTGATGGAAAGCGATGTCCCGCAACTGCAGCTGCAGCAAGTGATGGCCCTCTTTGTCCAAGCTTCGCAAGACAAACAGGCTTCCAGTAGTAACCCTTAAACCAAGAAGGATCTACAGCTACTGCTTTCTCTGCGTCCCGAAGAGCGTCTTTAATAAGTCTTCTTTGGGTTTCTGTAGTTGCTGTAGCCTGGTGAGCGTTTTGTTCTGAAAGCTTAACGTACGTTGCCGCTCTGTTAGTTAACAGCTTAGCGTCATTTGGCAATCGATTTAGCAACTTTTCATAGATCTCTAGTGCCTTCGGATAATTTTGTTTCTTAAAACAATCGCCAGCAATGTCTTTGCACTTCCTCGCAAGTATAACATTGAAATCAACTTCAGGCCTTGAATAAGATTGGTTTACTGGTCCATCAAGATATTGTCTTAATTGTTCTTGAAAGTTAGAGTCTTCTTCCTTAACTCCCAGGATCTTGTGCACCTCTGCAAGATAGTGACGCGCCTTTATTTCTTCAATGTGGCTCTCTCCATACATTTTCTTTTTGATTGACACTAACATCCTTGCAATACCACGATAGAAGTTTCCCTTTTGTTTATTATGTCTACTTCTTTTCTGTTTAACACCGGAATGTGAGATTACAAAGAAACAGTTGAGCAACCCTTCTAAAACCATGGCTGCGTGGTTGTAGCTGCCCTCATTAAATACATGTTCGTCGATATTCAAATGGTCGCCAACCACACCAGATTGAATGCATTTGTACATAACAGGCCACCTGTCCTCCAAAAGACGAAGAAGTGTGTCTTCAGCGCTATGTGGATCGAAATAAGATTCGATTAATAAAGCGCCTGTTATTCCTCGGATGTAAAAATCAGATGTAGATGGTTGTTTCTTCGCAATAGGCAACATTTCTTTGGCGTATATTCGCGCCTCATGAAGCTTTCCTTCTTGTTGCAAGTGACAACAGATAAACTGTAAAACACGTAACAGCTCAGGATGATCAGGACTGTAAATACGTCTGGCAATTTTGAGGGCTTTCTTGTAACGCTCCAAAGCGCACTGAAAGTTGCCAGCCGACATGTAATTTTCTGCCCTTGCTATTTTGATCTGCAGACTTACCACATTATCGTCACTCAATTGCAAGCCTTCTAGTTCCAGCAAAGCTTTATAATTTTCCTCCCATCTGCATTCTGATGCGTAAAAAGAAGCCATGTGCTCATGGACTTTAAATTTGGTATCTGGATTTATAACAATCCCAGACTTCTCCATTTCGCACAGCTTCTGTACAGTTTCTTGTGCCATCGTCTTCGCCTCTTGGTACTTTTCAAAACACTGACAATTTTTTAAACAAAGACTTGCATTAAGCATTACCAGAAGTAACTCATTTGAATTAAGAACGCCACTTAGTTTCGCGACTTTCAACTGAAATTCGGCGACCTCAGATTTTAATCGATTTAAAAAAATATTGGTGGAAATCAACCCGGTTACTAATGAGCACAGGTTACAGGTTTCAGCATTACAGAGCGAAGGCATTTTTCCTTTTGATGAAGTAAATTCGTCTTCGATGTGATTCTTGAGCTTGCGAAAATTCAAAACGAGGGCAAAAAGAATATTTCGTTCATCTTCCTTAAAGAGTGACAGGTCAGGCCCTATCTTAGTGTATCTTTCTAGTTTGGGACAGGACGCATATTTGGTCTGTAATGCATAGTGAAGAACTCGCGTGGCTGCAACCAAAGCCTCGACCCTTTGTGATTGCGTAAGACTGGCTCTGACAACTTCTTGAACAAGTTTGTGAACAAAGAAAACTTTGTTTTGAGGATCGACTGAGTATAAGGAATAACTTGACAGTACCTTAAGAATGGAAGCAATGTCGATCCTAGAACGCGCACATTCCCTCAATTCCTCTTGATCCAGTTCAGGCAGACCAGGATTAATGATGTCAATGGGAACATTCTCAGAATCCAAAAAGGCCGAAATTCGCATCATACTGGCGGCAGCTGGTGACTGTTCCTTTACAAACTCGAAATTCAATTCCCAAGTTGTGTGCACTGACAAGCGATGTTGGGCTTCTATGCTAAGTGCTGTAGCAGGCTGTTGCTTTAAAAGGCGCATCTTCACTACTTGGAATTTTTCTAGGTATTCAGTAAAGCTCAGTGGGATAGGACTTGTAGTTATGTATGCTGCTGTCTGCTCTAGGGCTAGTGGCAATGCACCCAGCTCTTTTGTCAGACACATCGCATCTGCGTCAAGGGATTCTACTTGAAGACCAGTTCTTTTCATTAAGAACAAAGCTCCATCCTCTGCGCTAAAGCATGACAACTCTAAAAAATCATCAGTTGAGTACCTCAGAAAAGCCTTTGCGTCTTTTGCGTTTTGCCTTGTTGTAATAAGTATGTGGCCGTTCTTTAGTGATTTAACAGTTCTTTGCCAAGGTCCCTTGCATATTTTCTTGACACTTGCAGGACACATAGGATCTTGCAATTCGTCCACATTGTCCATCACAAGAAGCCACGGAAGGTCCTTCTTGGACAACCACGTAAGGAATTTGTTCAAAGTGTCATCGATGCCGTCATTTGTCGAGGTAGGAATGTTTCTCAGAGAAAGTATCTCAGCAACTGATTTATTTATATTTTCTTCGCTTTCCCCATTGACCCAGAATAAGCCACCCGGGAAGCGATTTTTGTGGCTCCAAGCGAATTCTACAGCCAAAGATGTCTTGCCACAGCCTCCAAGACCGCATATTGTTTTAGTGCAACAGGAAGTCTGTGGGTTGGCTTGAACGCTCTCCGAAAGGAGGCTCTTTTCCAGCCAATCAAGAGCTGACTTGCGGCCTGTGAACAGTGGTAACCTACTTGGAGCGGTGCACAACGCGTCATCATCTCTGTCATTCGGTTCCTGTGTGGCTTGCCCTTTTTCCAAGACTACCACTTTTTCTTGCAAAACAGACACCTCTGTAGATGTCTCCATTGCCACTTTCTGCACTTCTATTACTTTGTCTTTCAAACTTGCTAGGGAGGTTTCAGTGTTGGCAACTTTACACTGTGTTACATTAAGTTTTGTTTTCACAACTTCTAAGTCACCTTGGATAGCTTCGAAGCCTTCTTTCAGGTCATCTCTCTTACTCAGAAATCCGTTGAAATCATCGACAGCTTTTAGAATGGTGGATAAGTCATTAGAATAATGTGCCATCAGGTCTTTTAACTCATCCAAATGCTGTGCCAACTTGTTTATCTCTTCTCTGTTTAGATCCCCTTTTTCTTTCACGTCAGATAAATCGCTCTGCATAACCATCTTGATCTTTTTCATCTCTGCATCTACTTTCAAAATGCTACTCTGAACATCAGACACGTCATCTTGGCATTTTGTCAAATCAGCCACAAGTGAGTGGCGAAGTAAGTGAAGAGCCTCTACTTCAGACTCCCTCACGTTTATCAGACCCTTATGAAACAAATCTTGTAAGTCTTTCGACGACTGCTGGGCGTCTTTGTCAGCACTGAACACGGCGTCATTGAGCAGATTATTAAGATGACCGAATATGGTTGAAACATTGGCATCTTGAATTTCCTGTTTCGGAGCATGCGCCCAATGATTCCTGCACTCATCTCTTGCCGACGACAAAACTGTTCGACTCGTAGAAGGATTAATAAAAGGACACCATTCAAGCAGGTTAAGAAGACCACCAATGTCCGTAGTTTCAGCGTCGACTACATCTTTTTTACGACTGCCTAGAGTTGGAATAAAGACTTTAGCTATCTCCCATGCCCCAGTCGGAGATCCCCACTGTGTTCGGTCACTGTTGTCCCAGCAAATTTTTGGTCGCCCGGACTTGTGGTGACGTTTCAGTTCCATTTCCCAGGTGACGCACGTGGCGCACTTTGGTGCTGAAGGTGCGCAAGCGCAAGATGGAAGTGACTGAAGCGGAGGACTGGAAAGAAGGGACTGGTACCAAGCTTCCATTTTGTTTTGAATTTTAGATGTAATTCCCTTTTTGGTAATATTCAGGGCACAACCAACCATCACCCAGTTTTTGTGTTCTTTCTTATCAAGCTCTCCCACCCAACCGCCAGATGCCATTATGATACTGATTTCGAGGGAAATTAACAAACTGTATGTCTTGAAACTAAACGACAAAGCAGGAACGACGCTTTAGGCTGAGTCTAGTCTTGTCGCATTTCCTAACCGAGGATCTGCAACTGAAAGACCAAAAATCTTATAACATGATAAATTACCTTAAATAAGTGTAAACGCAAGCAAGCACTGGAGAAGGAAACTGACTCCCATTATGTGGGTGCTTAATACCCAGCAATGATAGCAGCTTGGTACAGCTTTCAAACACTACGATCGCTTGCGCATCAAGGAGACACGCACTCTTCATTTTAAGCAAGCGAGTCAACAGAGAAAAAGAAGATACAATTAGCTCAAAGGGTTGTTTCCTTGTGTCACCTCCTATAATTAGCTACTGAATATCATGCATAGTGTGTTTAAGGTATTTTTAATATCGAAAGTTAAAATTTTCATTTTTCTTGTCACTATACGTTTTCTATAGCAGAAGAAGGGAGAAGCTGTTGAAGTAGAATCAATTAAATTTATCTCGCGTGATCATGGCCTTAATTCACGTGACCACTCTGCTTTATGAAGACTAGATATTACAAAGAGAAAATCAATGCTCATCATTCATAGAGATGAAAGTAGTAAGAGTGAACCTTCGTTGGTTGACATGTCTGTTTGGTTACTTAGTTTGAATTTGTCAGGCATGATTTTCTTGCCACCTTCTGCCATAGCTCAATTATTATGACAATTATTAATCACTTATGCATCAGTCAATTCCAGCAGCGCCTAGCCCCCCCCCCCCCCCCCCCCCCCCCGCGCTTTTTTGTCTTTGTTGTGCGAGTGTGCCGCGGGGGCCAGGGCCCGTCGGAAATGACTGGAGCCAAAGGGGTTTAAAATTTGCCAAAAAAATTGGGCTAGGGAAAAGGGGGGAAAAAAAATAATGCCAAAAAATTCAAACAAAATAACCAAAAAAACAATTCAACCCACGAAAGGTTACCTTTTCCACCTTTACTCCCATGAAAGAATGAGATTGATTTTTTCTTTTTAATAGTTTTATTTTTAAAATGTGTGGTATGTTTGTTTTGTTTGTTGTGTTTAACTTGTTAGGCATTATTTTTTGTCCCACCCCTTGCATCACCACATTATTTTGAAAAATTTTAAACACCATGGCCACCGTGAAATCCCCCACCGCCCCGCCCCCCCCCCCCCCCCGGGCATTGGCATTTTTTTGGCATTGGATGGCAAATTCCCGGGGGTGGCAACTATTGAGCTGTCAAAACCCCCGGGGTGGGGACAAAAAAAAGGGGCAAATGCCCCGTCCTCCGTCAACACTGCAACATTTTTCATTGATTGCACAGTCGAATAGTGCCATTTTACACATTTTAATGTGCGATTTCTTGTTTTAAGTAAGGTCCTCGATTCTAATTAAGACTTCACGCTGTGACGAGATGCACCAGTTTATGGTTTCAGGATTGATATAAAATTATTGGCATTAAAATTGATAGACCGCTGTAAAGTTATATGTTATGAATAGGTTATGAATATCAAAGGATGTTCTTCACATAATATCAACAGAAATGCACTAACCAAAAAACGTTGATTCACATCGATAGCTCCCGAGTTTCGCTCTGCAATTCTGGCTTGATAAGCAATGAAGAAATGCATGCATAAAATCGAGAACATACCTTTACAACCCCCTGTCCTTGACAGATGAGCTAATCTGCTTTTTTTCCAGTAATATCCTCTGTGTAGTTATATTCTGATAGGAAACCGCGTGCGTGTCAAAAGCTCGGGAATAGCCCCGGGGTTGGCCGATGCCCAGCCCCCGGGCAGCGCAAAATTTGCAAATGCCCCACCCCCGGGACTGAAAAGGCGGGCAAATGCCCTGCAGTAGCCCGGGGGAGGGGGCTGGGGGCAGCTGGAATTGACTGATGCATTAGGTTGACAATTTTTGACACAGGATGGAGTGGGCAGACCCTGAGAATGAGGATGTATCCTGGGTCTCTCTAATCCCCTCTGGGGTGGGTCATTGAAAGACCCTAAGAATGATCATGAGGTGGATGTCGTTTTGCTTGGTTGTTTTCAAATTATTGGTGTTTTAATAAAATTGTCCCATACTAAGAATTTTCTTGCATTTTAATGCTACTAGCAAGCTCGATCAACCATGACAACAACAAAAAATCAGAAAGGGGAGCCGCCCCCTCTCCCCCTATCTCAAGGTCTGGATCTGGCACTGACAAGAGAATAATTGCTTTCCATTTCATAAAGACAAGGAGGCTTTTTGTAATTCATCCATTATTATTTTATGATATATTAATATGCCTTTGAGATCAGGGTTCTCAATAAGAGCCGGCAGCTGGCGAAATTCACCAGCTATTTCATGTGAACTCGCCGCCTATCATGTTTCTTTGGAAATTATCCCATTTTTTACATGATTTAAAACATATACTGAAACAACCAATGGTTCATAGCTATTGTCAAGAAGAAATAATTCTAAACATAGAGTATTTTTGTGTTCTCTGACTGAATAAAAAAGCTAAAATTTAGTGATATGTGTTCTGTCCAAAAAAGTTCTAATTTTTGCTCCAGAATGCTGGAAATGCATGTCTCAGAGGCCCAGATTTCAAACTTTTTCCTGGGGGGAATGCTGCCAGACCTCCCCTTTCCATCTCTGCCTACTCCAAAGCTTTTAGTGCCCTGCTTAGAACTTATTGAAAACCCTGCTTTGTGTTATAGAAAAGAGTCACCAAGGGCAGTTATGAAAGGGTGGAAACAATTTTATCACTGAAATCAAAGTCTTAATATATCTTTGCAAACGATCCAATATAAATACACCAGTACAATCTAAAGAAACAACAAGAGAAAAGAAAACTGAAGAACTCAGAAATCAAATTAGTGAAGATTCACAGGCACTGTTAATTACGAATTTTTTTTTTGCCTTCACCTTGGATGATAATCATCAGTGCTAAATTTTATTCAAAAAATCTTAGATCAACAGAAATGTTGTTTAGTAACCAAAAAAAATATCAATTCAGGTTGAATTTTTAAGCTCCCAACTTAAATCCAGCTTATTAAGCAATCAAGAAATGCAGACAGAAAATTGAGGAGACAATACCTTAAAAACCCTCTAAACGTTTTTCCTGTCCCTGACCGATAAGCCAATCTTTGAATCTGCTGGTGTTTCCAGTAAAATCCTCCACGCTTAGTGAATATGTTTGGATACGAATGCATGTGTGTGCCAAAAGCTCAGGGGTGGCTCCGGGGTTGGCAAATGCCTGACCCCATGCAGCCCAAATTTGCTAATACCCCACCCCCATGAATGACAAGGTAGCAAATGCCCTGTAGTTGTCCAGGGAGTGCATGGGCGCTCCTGGAATAAGCCACTTGCACTAAGAGGTCATGTGACCAATGAGTTGGAATCTTGCTGATGCCAAAAATTGACGGAGTGCATAAAAATTATCTTTTCAACAATTTTCTTGAAGTTCAAGTGCAAAATTTGTGTTCAGAAAGAGGTACTGCTTCATACTTTTACAAGGGTTTAATTAAGCATCAGAGATTGCAGAATTCTCCGTCTACAACGCAGGATTCTCCAGCTTTATTTCGATGAAGTATGGCTATTTTTTATTCAGATGAATCAGACGTGGATATGTTATGTAAAAAGAAATTATTCCCAGAAATGCGTAAATTTATAGCGCTTAGCCACTGCTTTACATTCCTAAATAAATAACAAATACATAAAAGACCTTATTTAAATGCTACTAGCAGTTTTAAGCTCAACAAAACTAACAGGGGAGGTGTAAAATATTAGACGGTTTGCTTAAGTGTGGAGAGTTGACTGTATGCTCAACGCTTTTTTAATTTGCACATAAAAAATGATTAAGAGCGGCTCCGCGTAAATATCAACTAGACGTGGAAATAGTAAAAAAATGACCTGGCCTCAAGCTCAGCCAGAATAAAGCCCTATGGGCCCTAGTTACAAAATCGTTGGTTTAAGTACGATCGAGTGAAAAATATTTTTTTAACGAATTTTTTTCTTCCCGAGGCCTAAAATGGGCAAAAATCATGCGAAATTAGAGTCATATTCAGTAACTCGTAAATTTTAAGATAAAGTTGGCTAATAAAATATAATGACACTTCGTATTTTTACTATCTTTCCTCTATAATTTTAACTGATTAGTTCGCGATTTGGTCAACAAGAGATTTTTAAAGAATTTTTCAAAGTTGTTGACTCAAAATCGCTTAATCAACCACCAAAATTTAGCACTTTTTCACGAGCTAAAAAAGCGGAATGGTACATGGCTTTGAACACCAAGGCTTGTTTAGTCTGAAAGAGCATTCTTTTTTCTTCAAATTAGCAAAATAAAATTTTTGGGTAAATGAAATCACGAGCGCTGACAAAGCCAAGCAAATGTAAATATTACACTAGAAACGGGCGAAAAAACGTGACCTCTGACCGAAGCACAACCATGCGAATTACGGTACTAAGGTGCCAAACCTTTAATTATTCGGTAACTTCTTGAGAGAATATTGGTCCGAAATGTGTATAGATTTTTTAAATAAGGCTGAGTTAAAGTATTAAGTGTCAAAAGTCCACAAAGCGGTAAAAAATACAACAAAAGTCACGAGTAATCTGTTCCGTTTTCTGAATTTTACGCCGCGATTTATGCGATTTAACGAATTAACAATTTTTAATCCAACAATACCCACCTGAGACTGTGTTAGTTTAAGAGTCCATAGAACTTCTCAGACGATTCCTCGGAAAGACCTCCAGAAGGAAATGAATGAAGAATTTGAACTTATAACTGTAACAATTTCACTTGCCGCAACGGCAAAACGAAAACAACTGTCGAACTGCCGCAGGTAAACCAGCTTTCAGTGGAGTCATGCAAAGCATAACGTAATTCTGCCCCGCGCATTTGGGAAGGAGGGAAGAAATTCTTCCATGCTGTGCGCTAAAACATTTGTAAAATAAAACAAGCTTTGGAATGTATCTTTTGCAACTAGTTAAAGAAAAGAATAACTTT